TATACCTCATCTATATTAGCCCAAGATAGTACCAAAATAGAAATTGTTTAGATTTCCAAACAGATAATGTTTTCTGCCATACAAAGAGCGTTCCAACTTCTGCTCTATTTTCCCCCAGTGTAGATCAAAAATAACTCCTTTGAAATTAGCGTCATTCTAGCATGACAGAGCAAAACTTGACCCAGCCATTTTGAAAGCTGGCCACCACCCTTTTTGGTGATCTTGGAATTTATATTATACATACTTATTCTCTGATTGAAACATGTGCATAACTCCATATCACCACAAATTACACATGCTTACTGAAAGGAGCACTAATCCTAAGAGAAAGTTCTGTCCATGCATTCATAAACTTGTTATGAATTTTATTATTTATTTTTTTTAAACACACTACACACCAGCTAAGCTTTACAGTCCCAGATTCACTGATGTCCTGAAAAAGTGGTGGCTTTCAAAGTAATAAGTTCAAAAAGAGTTTAAAGGGTTGAACACAAATACATCCATAAAGTTTTAAATATAATGCAAAACACAGTCCTTAGCTTACTAAACCTATACAGTATTTTGTGACTTGACACTTAGATTAGCTGTCAATTTACCACTGTACTTCAAACTTCACGGACAAAAACCCTCCAGATACCTAGCTCTATTCGAGCATTTATTCCCCACTTAGAAAACTTAGGAATAGCTATCTTAGAAAACTTTCAAACAATTTAGCTGGTAGTTAAACTGAACAGAAACTTATCTTTTTGAGACCTCTTATCTTTAGATTTTAGTGCAAACATTATTTCTATATAACATTATAACTAAGTAACACATTACTTGCTCTATATCTCCAGCATATCAAATCTTTAGCTATCGTAAGAGGAAAGGTAGTGGATTAAAAATAAATAAATAAATAAGGTAGGCCTGTGATAATATCCTTTGGAGTTCAGAGCTGTGCTTAATAGCTTTTACTTAAGCAATAATGCTAATGGAATACAAGTTTGTTCTCCAAAAGTGAGCTTGTGGTGCATCAAATAGCATCTTTGCCTTTTATTTTCTATACAGTAAACAAATTATTACAGCACACACCTGTATTACATTTGATATATAAGCAGTAATGTTATTTAAAATAAAAATGAGGCTTTTAAAGCTATGCAAGTGGTGGTCTGGATGCTTTCTTCTCAGAGGAAATCCAAGATGGTAACCCCAATGTGGATTATTAGTCAACTGTTCAGCAAGCTGAACATTTTATAATACAGTAGAACCTCAGTGTTACGAACATACTAGTCAAACACACACCTCATTTGGAACCAGAAGTACGCAATGAGACAGCAGAGACAAAAAAAGCAAATACTGTATACTGTGTTAAACTACTAAAAAATAAAGGGAAAGTTTAAAAGATTTGACAAGATAAGGAAACTGTTTCTGTGCGTGTTTCATTTAAATTAAGATAGTTAAAAGCAGCATTTTTCTTCTGCATAGTAAAGTTTCAAAGCTGTATTAAGTCAATGTTCAATTGTAAACTTTTGGAAGAACCATAACATCTTGTACAGACTTACGAACATTTCAAAGATATGAACAACCTCCATTCCCAAGATGTTCATAACGCTGAGGTTCTAGTGTACCATACCAGTTCCATTTTTTAACATGCTGGGTTCCGCTACATGCGGGGGGGGGAGGGGTGGAGGATCAGTGGTGATAGAGAAAGCTCAGTGATCATTGCCCCAGTTTGCAATTCTGTTTCTACAATTTCAAGAAGAGTGGCAGGCTGCCCTTTCACTGAAAGCTGCTTCCCTTCTCTGCCAGCTCCCAGTACTGCTCTCCATAGGCGCAGCTCCCTTGAATTCAGGCAGAAGTCTACAAGCCAAAGTTTCTGATCTCTGCTCTCACAACAATCATTTCAGCAAGGGGGGAGCAAAAGCAAACAGGAAAAAGCCACCACACAATTAGAAACCAAGACAAGAAGAAAAACTGTTAGAGAACTGGAGAAAAATATGGATAATTAAAAATTAATAATAGGAATTGTGGCAGGACATAGCAGAACAAGTGGTACACCCCACTACCAACAAAGCAGGAGACTATGATACAGTATGTACCTGCTGAAACAGCCAAGATCCGTGTCCTCACTCTCCCACTTTTGTGTGCATGGACACAGACACACACCCCTTCTCATCAGATATTTCTTCTCTTGCCATAACAATCAAATCTTATTACCGTGCTTACAGAGGGTGAGGCCGAAGACTTGAAAGCAAGACTTGACGGTCACAGAGGGTTTGGAACTGTATTAACAACTAGCTAGAAATTACATCCTTGCAATTTTTATTGCAACTCAAGCTCAACTCCTCTCCCTATAGTAAGTTCAGGTCATGATGTTAAGTCCTCAAGCATAGCAGCATCACCTGCATTTAAATCAATCTGCAGTCAACTATTATATGTACATGTGTAATACTGAGCTGTGAAGAGAAATTGCACATAGATAATGGTGTCCCAAGCTGACACAGTATTTGTCACCATCTAGTCCAGGGGTCGGAAACCTTTCAGAAGTGGTGTGCCGAGTCCTCATTTATTCACTCTAATTTAAGGTTTCGCGTACCAGTGATACATTTTAACGTTTTTAGAAGGTCTCTTTCTATAAGTCTATAATATATAACTAAACTATTGTTGTATGTAAAGTAAATAAGGTTTTTAAAATGTTTAAGAAGCTTCATTTAAAATTAAATTAAAATGCAGAGCCCCCCGGACCGGTGGCCAGAACCTGGGCAGTGTGAGTGCCACTGAAAATCAGCTTGCGTGCCACCTTCAGCACGTGTACCATAGGTTGCCTACCCCTGATCTAGTCCATGTAACTGTCATGTTGTCTTGTGTCAAGATGACCACACTGTGAATAAGATCCACTATTAGTTGCAATCTATAATATTGCTGCAAACTTAAAATATATTTTATTACAGGCATTAAGATGTTTCATTAAATTGTTTTCTTAATATCCCAATGCAAATTATCAGCCTTGCAAATCAAATGGTAATTCACACTTTAAAGACCTTAATTCCATTTATACTTAATAAATGCTGTACACATAACCCTAATTCAACCAACCATATAATGGAGGAGGTCCCAAACTAGAAACACTAATCACTTGTGGCAGCCTTCTAGGTCAAAATTATATTTTGTAAAGTTAGAGCCCAGCAAAAAACTCCTACTTCTAGAATATCTAGCAGCATGTAAATGGCATTAACGGAAAATTTGAAAAGCCTTGATGGATCTGTTCAGCCATCACATATGCTATCCACAGTCATACTACTGATGTATTGACTGCTGTAGCTGGGAATCTCCACTATAAATGCTTATTTTCAACAGATAATTTGCCTCTAAAATGTGGCTATTACGACTATCATGTCTATAATCAGAGGATTAAATAGCTTCACATATAATTTAATTCAAACCATAACCAATTAGTTCATTTGGTAATAGTGTACATATTAAACAGTCACCAAGAGTCCTTAACATGGACTAAACTCCCAAGGACTCATTATGGTTTTCCATGCTAATGTGGGTGGATTATATGTAAACCTCAGTGCCAAAGATCCAATAGATTCAGTATGAGCTGAATTACTAAGCAGTTTCATTTGCGCATTAAAAAGTGCAGTTTCTTCTCTCCCAATAATGTTCAAATAAAGTTAAGTGATGCATTTTCCAAGAATTCTCAAGCTTTCAGTTATGCAGATAACGTTTTTTTTAAATCATCAATGGAATTAACACTGTCACCCCCCAGCACAACAGTCACAGTTTATCGGCTAAGGTTTTAACGAATAAAACAAAAGTAAACATATTCTGAATTAAGACTAACACTTTGTCCCGACCTCAACTTGTTGTACTAAGATATTACAGGGGTCTCAACACTGGGATGATCTTACAATACCATGTGTGCTGCCGTTACATCAAGGCACTGGAATGAGTCAAGGCCAGTGGCAGACTAGAGACAGTTGCAATGTAAAGTTTAAAAAAAAAAAAAAAAAAACCCACACACACAACACCTAAGTTGACCTCAATGAAGCAATGCATTCTTGTTATTGATGAAATTCAAAAGTATGAGTGGTTCCCTCCTTAATATCAAAGACAGTCATGGAAAAGAGGATAGAATTTGTGCAGGCTGCAGGCTCTATATAATAGATATACAGTATGTAGATTTTCTTATTGAACTCTGAATTAAGAGGGTTCAACTGAAGCCACATACAAGAAAATCTAAATAAAGTCACTCTTGATGTCCAGCCCTGATTAATTATGAAGCACTGGGGACATTGAATACTATAATACAGAGTGTAGAATTAAGGGTTTGAGGTGGGGGCCCTTCAAGCCAGGATTACCACTCTGAACAGGCAGTGCTACCACAAGGCATTTAATACACACAGGAACTCTCCACCACCAATACTGGACATACAAATACTCCCACACAGACATTTAAACCAGAGCCTAGGGCAGCAGCTTCGTGGGGCTTCAGGGACCTGGCTACCAGCATATCCAGGAGTTAAAGGCTGTGCCCACAGACATTTCTCACTGGAAGGTGCTGGAGTTTGCCTGCAAAAGGAGAGGCAGATCCATACACCAATGGCACTCCGAAGAAGCTGGCAGGCCAGGCTGCCCCAGCCACTGACATCCCGGGGGAGGGTGGGAGTAATGGGGGCCAGGCAGGCCAGGCTCCCCCTCACACCGACAACACCCGAAAGCTGGGGGAGAGGCCCGGCTGCCCCCACCCCATGAGTGGGTGTTTGGGGCGGAAGGAGCCGCTTAAACTTTGCGGCGATCCCCCTAGAGGAGCAGCGGCGCCTCCCGCTTCTGGGGACGGCAGATCCTGGCTCCCAGCGTCCCACTCTGAGGCGGGCGGGCAGGAAGGAGGGAGGGGGCGGCCATTAAACCAGCTCCAGCTAAGCCATTCCCGGTGCTCAGCGCCAGCCGGCCTAGCGCGGCGTACCCAGCCCCCCCGCCTGACGGGACAGCCCCCCCTTGCACCCCGCTTCTCCTACCTGGCTGCTGCTGCCTGCGGGCGGCTCGGTGCCTCCGTCTGCCCCGGGCGGCCCCGCTGCCCATCGGGTCGCCATTATTTCATTCCCGGTTACAAAGGAGGAGCAAATCCTCTGGAGCCCTCATTGGAAAACACACGCTCGCCCGCCCAACGCCCAGCAGCAACCCGAGCCGGCCCCGCGCCGGGGCTGGGGGGAGGCTTCACGGAGCTGCCATGGGGCAGGGCAGGACGATCCCCCTGGACTTCAGCTGAACTCCCCGGCTTCCACCTTCATGGCTAACGAGGGAGAGAGGGGAGATGTGTCAGTGCGGGGGTAAAGCCGCCGCTGCCGCCACCCGTCCCTTGTTAGGCTAATTGCGCTGGCTCGTCATCTTCCTCTTCCTCCTCCGCCTCCTCTCCGGAGCCCCAGACACGGGGGGAGCGGGAAGCGCCCACCGCCTCCGCTACACACAATCGTCCGTGCCCCTGGAGAGGGTGGGTACGTGACCCAGGGGTGTGGAAAGAAATCCCGCTGGCCACCGACCCCTCCTCCCAGGCACAGCAGCCCGCCCGGCGCAGCGCTCTTGGTGACTTTACTACCTCGCCTCGGCCAACTTTGAGCAACTTCGGCGAGAAGGAAAGACGTCTTGGCAAAGGCAGCCGCAGGGAGCTTCCCGTTCCTGCAGCCAGGGTGGGGACGGGGGCCGCCGGGCCAGCTGCAGGCTGTCTGCAGAATTACAGGGTCCCACACACAACCCCTCTGCTGCCCCAAAGGGGGGGACCCCGCGTATTACAGCAGGAGAAGCCTGGCAAAGTCGGGGTTGTGATGTGGTGGGAGTTTGTATCAAACGCCCCCACGTTCCTCTGCATTAGCTAGAGCTATTCCTGATCAAAGCCACACGCAGACACCTCTCCGCCTCCAACCCGACAGCTCCTGCCCCGGGCTGCCCGCGCATGCGGTGAAATTTAACGCACACGCACAGTCCCTAGCAGGAGCTGGAGCCGCCTGAGCGACTCCCTCCGGGGAGACTGGTCTGTGCCGCCTGGCAAATGAAAGCCAAGCTCGCACTCAAGCCCCCAGCGCCGTGCCTGGGGCAATCGCGCCGGTGGTGCCAGCTGCACCCAAGTCGGCGCCAGCTGGGCGCTGCGTTCGGGGGAGGAGGGTGTTTTTACTACAGCGGCTTCTTGAAATTTACAAGCGCCGCCTCGGGGGTCAGGGGGCTCCCCTGCGACCACCGACACACCCCACAGAATCCCCCTCCAGAGCGGCACGGTGTGACCCCACCCCCAATATACCCGCGCTTGCCCGGCGCGGACAAGAAGTCACAGAACACGAAGTGGGCATTCACCCAGGAAAGCTTATGCTCCAATACATCTGTTAGTCTTAAAGGTGCCACAGGACCCTCTGTTGCTTTTTACAGGACACGTTGTGACCCCCACAACTCCAGCTCTTCAATGGCTAACGAGAGCGCGGGACCTGCCCCAGGGCCAAAACCCGACACCCGCTGCTCGCAGCAGGGTTCCCGCACCCGGGCTGAAGCAGAAGGGGCCAGTCTCCTGCTCCCGCGTAAAATCGCCACACCCCGGTCCCCGGCTCTACCCGCAGACTCGGAGAGCGGGCCCTGAGCTCCAAGCTCAGCCCGAGAGAACAACACACGGGGCCCTGATAGCGTCAGAAAATGCCTCCCTGACCCCCTCCACCCTCAGATCCACTCCTGGCTTGGCTGAGCCAACAGCGGGAGCCGTGGAAAACTCTTCACGCCCAGGGCTGGTAACAGAAACCACCGTAGCCCCATACTCCTGTCCCCTTCCTGCCGCACCAACTCCCTGTTATCCTTGGCCCAGTCCTACTGCTTGGGCTGGCAAAACACAGGCACCCTTCTCCCCCAGATTTCCAGCTCTTTCTCCGAGATCTGCCTGCTCTGGGCTAACATTAAAAACACAGTGACTTGGCCCTTGGCCGCCTACCCTGGGTTCATAACAAAGGAAACCAGCTCCCCGAAAATTCACAAGTTCCCTCCAGGCACCAGCTTGGCAAGCAGGTGCTTGGGGCAGCAGGTCCAGCTATTCGGCGGCAATTCGGCGGACGGTCCCTCACTCCCGCTCCAAGCGAAGGACCTTCTGCCGAATTGCCACTGCAGATCACGATCACGGCTTTTTTTTTTTTTTTTTTTTTTTTGGCTGCTTGGGGCCAAAACCCTGGAGCCGGCCCTGGTTCCCTCTAAAGCAGTGGTTCCCAAACTGGGGTTCGTGAACCCCTGGGGGTTCACAAAATGTTACAGGGGGTTCTCAGGGAAAAATTCCCTAATGGCGGACAGAGCTGTCCCTAGGGATGTGGACTTCTAAGAACTAAGCAGATCAAAGCAAGCACATCTATTACACTGACGAGATTTAAGCTTCAAGACTCCTTATAAGAAATGGAAAGGGAGGTGGATATTTTCTGCTGTTTTTAAAATTAAATAGGCAGCTAGTATTGTTTTTAAAATTATTATGAAGAACAAGTTTAAGCTTTGTTGTAACGTGCGTTGGTTGCCTGGACTGCTCAAGACCTGAATGCTTGTATAGGAGGAACTCTTTGAGTTGGCTTCTTAAATATCTTCATGCTCTTTCACATCTGATACTCCTTGATGAAACATAGGAGCCTTGTCTTATAACAGGCTTATTCAAAGTGATACAAGCTATGAAAGTGAGATCTTGGAAGAATGTTGCCATTTTCATAATGTAATAAAAATACTGTAATGATAAATAATAATTAATAATAGTGTGTAATAAGCATGTCATAAAAACAAATTTTATATTTCCAAGATCACGGCTTTTATAATTTATACTCAGGTAAAGGAGAAAATACCTGGACATTTCATTTTTAGGAGGGGGTTCGCAAGACTTGACATTTTAGTTAAAGGGGTTCACGGGTTGTTAAAGTTTGGGAACCACTGCTCTAAAGCCACTATCTGCCTACTGAGCTGTAGGGCCAGGGTCCTTTTAAATCCTCTTTCACACCTTGCTACCTACAAATTCCCACCATAGTACCAATAAACCTAACACTCCCCTCCCTCCCATCTGGAGAGTTTCCAAAACCTCCTGTCCAGCATTCAAGAGCAGGTGAATTAATCCGGAAACAGTAACTACCCCCAATTCCATTTCCCTACCAGTTACTCATCGCTCCTGGAAACAAACCTCCTGCCCCCCAGCTGCACCATATTTGTGTAATAATCTCTGGTGGGTAGATGTTACTCAGGTCCTATGCCGTGGGGTTCTTTGTGATAGTGGGTTAATAGGACTCATAATTCTCCTAATGAAAGGCTTGAGGCCTTTGGTTTTACTTTTGTTTAAAGGTGAGAACATAAACTCTATCCACTTCCACAATCATTCAGTGTTGATTTGTTCTCTTTCTCTAGATCCACCTTTTCCCCACCTTCCTAAGCAAAGAAGGGTCTCCTTAGTTGTGTGTTTTTGCCCTACATAACCTTCTTCCTGCTCTGATCTGTGGGGCCCCACAGAAGAGATAATTGTCCCTTCCAACCACACAATATCTGCTCCTTCTGCTAATATATCTAGAATGCCAAGAAAGGTGTCTATATTATTCAGTCCAAACCCAGAGGGAAAGATTTCTAACTAACTATCCAAATACTGACTCCTTTTGCATCTATGCAAATATCCGCAAGCGGATTTTCCCCACTAATTAAGCAGAAGCCCCTTTCAGATGGGTTGGTGGTGAGAACCACCACTGAAATGCAGCCATCACCACCAACTAAACATGTTACACAACTGTAAGGAAATGGAAAATTCTGAAAAAGAGAACATGGATCAAACCTCCTCACCTACAAAAAGTGGGATAGGATCTTTCATGTCCATATAGACCAGGCTTTGTTTAATTCAAAACTCAATTATTATAAGGGATGGTTGCACTCCTTGCAATTAGGATTAGATTACAACATTGGGCTCTGATTATGCAACAACTCATCCAGGTGCTTAACTTTATGCACTTCCATTGACTTCAGTTGGACTACTGATGTGCATATAGTTAAGCATTTGACTTTTTCCAAGGGTGGGGAAAAAAATACTTTTCCTGTTAATATGCTGTTATCCTAAAACAAAATAAAAAAACAACTCTTTTATTTTAAGGTTACAAACTAATCACTTTGCTAATTTGCCAAACTATTGTGTTTAAAAACCTCTCCGATTTGTGCATACGCACTATAGTAACTACTTCTACAGCAGCTACAATACTAACTGCAAATCTAAATTATCATAGTATCTACATAGAAAGTTTTCAAACTATTTTAATAGGGAGATTTCAACACAAATGAACTTCAGGCCTGATTGCTAGTGCCTTGAAAGTCTCTTTTACATCAGTGAGCAACATCCACCAGTGGAGCAATATCAGTGTAGCTACACGGGTGCAGAAAAACACAGCATAGAAAAGACCTCAGTTTTTATTTTCTTTGTATAGGAAAGTGTGATTGTAAACACATGCACTCCAGCCTTAAGTTCTTTGTTCACAGAACATGTGTGGAATGAGCAATAGTATTGCAAGTTTCCCCACACTACCCCAGGCCCAAATTCTGTAGGAATCACTTCTAGAAGTGAGAGGATAGTTCATTCTCCACACCATTTCTATTTTTGTCAATTTACCAAAACTACCAACTATGGTGCTAGCTACAGACCTGATTCTGCAACGATTATTCACAGGGAGAACTACTCAATTCTACTGAAGTTCTTATACCACACCCTCTCCATGGTATCTGAATAATCTCTTACTCACACAAGTAGTCCTATGAATTACTCATAAGAGTGGCAGGATCATGTACTATGACAATGATTTTTGTGTGCTGTATTGATTTTGAATTGGACTGAGACAACCAACTTATTTAACTTAAGCCACTGGTGTGGATGCAGACAGGCAGCTTGGAGCCAAAAGGCTCTGTGTCTCTTTACCAATTCCCTGACCAATCCATCTAGTCCCCAGCGGCTTGAAATATTTAACAATGTGTGTGTGTGAACCTGTACCAATACAAACTTTCTAAGGTGTACTCACACTTATTCCATTTTGAGCAATGGAATGGAACTTTCCTCATGCCTAAAGACTTTCTAATTAAAAATATCATCAGATACATTAGAATAACCCAAGAAATCAAAAATAGATCACCTTTAAATTATTTATTCAAACAAGAGAAATATATATTGAGTCACCATCCCTAGAGTTACTCCACTGATTTCAATGAAGTCATTCACTAGATGAATTTGACCCATCATATTTGGTTGTATAATGAGATATATTTGCATTTAAAATGTTTCCAGGACCTTTTTTCTGTACATAAGGTTTGCTTCTATGTAGTTACAATAACTACATAACAGTTCAAGGAGTTGTATTTTGGCAATCTGTTTGTTACAAGAAACCCTCTTTAAACAGGGGCTGTTAAGATTTTATACTAAAATCAATCAGAACTTTTTTTTAAAACTACAGACTACAGCAGGTAATTTGGGCAAATGTTTGAATCACCAGTGAAGCTGGTGTAACTTTGAA